CTTGTGAAAGACAAATAGGGAAAAGAAATGTCAAATTCTATGGCTGTGTCACCAGCTCATAAGAGTTAATTGTTAATTGTTAATAAATTTAATAGTTAATAAATTGTTAATTTATTACAATTTTGGTTTGATTTTGCAAATTCTTAGATGAAAGCAAGACACTTTGCCATAACAGATATGGAGCATTCAAATCTCCTCTCCATGAATTAATATTCTAAGCATTCTAGTAGTTGCACAAGACTAGCCACCAAGCAAAATGAGACTGTTTCAGAATACTAGGCAGCCTTGATTGCAACTGACAGGTGGGAAGAAAGTCATATTAAAGTATTATCATTCCCAATAATTACAATAATCTATCACAGTGTGCTCAGAAATTTGACTAGGTGAGTTTGCCCTGAAAATACACAAATATTCCCAAACATTTTCATTCTAGTGCTTTTTAAATGTATTTCATTTATATTGTTTATGAGCAGATAGTATTATTAAATTTAAATCTTTCATCGTAAGATTCACATCATTTTACTTATAAACAAAATTACTCAGCCATGAAATACATTTCTCAAAATTACAAGTAAAAATTAATGAAAATGACAATGAACTCAAGTTGTCAGTTAATGGTTTTGCATTCCTTTAAAGTCATGTGCAAAAGTATCCATTATCTTCTTTATCTATAAAGCATATAACATATCATGCAAATCAGTATAACTATATATCTATTTGTATATCTATATATAGATGTATCAGCCCTCTATATGAGATACTTAAATTTTATGTATCTAAACATACTAGGATCTTCAAATGACAATTCAAGCAATAATTCATTCCAAGATTTAGGTATTATGTAATAATTAAGCCACATTTATCCAGTGAAGCAGCTTTTCAAAAGGTATTAAAATATAAACTAGGAACAGACAAATTTGGTTCCAATTTAAAAGGTATTACACAAAAGTAACAAAACCCAGTCCAGTCCTGCTATATTTTAATTGGCCAGTGAAATGAGTTAAATTACAACTTTTATTCTAATTTAAATTTATATTTTTGATCGATGATGTAAATGAAGCAGTGGGCTGAGACTTAAATTGGATGTATTATCATTATCTAACTTTCTGTACTCTTGCTCATACTTCTTTGTTAATTTGGGATAATAATCAGACAATAAGCCCTTGTAAAAAAAAGTAGGTTTTTAATATGATGCATTCTATACATTCACAGGCGTGTTCAGTTAAAAGCAGAAAATAAAAACTCCCCTCTAAAGTAAAAGGCAGAAACTCCCCCAAAATGCACCCTCCATATCTCATTACAGCACAGGTACATTTTGGTTTTGTTTTTCTCTTGAGAAAACTACCCTCTTTTTCCTCAGTTCAGGTGAGACACATTTTGTAGTTCTCATAGCTCCTCTTACAATTTTCATCAGTCACACTCAAGACTTTCTTGGGAACCATCATCCTCCTCTCAGCATCTCATCATGCTTCTTCCTTGGCTCCTAGTAGGTTTAAATTGTGCATATTCCACAGAGCCATGAGATGGGGAGGGGAGCAGGCGGTTTTTCCTTGGACAGAGCAAATCTAGACTAACGTACGTAATTGAGCAGAATAAAAAGAATAAAACCATAATTTTTTGACTTGACAAAAAACCCAACCTTTTAAAAGAGTAAGTTCTTCCTTGCAGCCCCTTACTTTTAACAATAGTTGCATCAAGGGATCTAGGAGGAAGGAAACATTTTTATTAATTTTCCCTTATCTGCCCAAAGAATGTTGATTTTTTCATTTGCGTTCGTTGCCTGCAGGTAACAGAACAGAGAATCATATAGTAGAAATTCTTCTTTTTGATTAATTTCTTTCCATGTGTTATGTTATTTCTTATATATAATTGATTTGGGGATTTGCTCAGAGCTGTACATCTTTTTTTATATCTTTACCAACTGCTGTCCTTCAATCTAGAAAGTTGAAGGAAATTACCTGAATCCTGTCAAGTTTATTAAAACTGGGATCTGTGAATATTTAAATTGAGTTTGAAAATGCTAATAAAAAGATATTAGAAATTTTTAATGGAGGGTTCAATTTATTAGAGAATTTTTAATGGAAGTTTCAATTTGCCGATGCTCTATTGTAAAAATATGGAAAGGGAGTTATGTTTTATTCAAATTGTTCCATTAGGGAGAAAAGAGAACTCTTTTATTTTAGAAAAAGAAGGTAATATACTTTGCTATAGTCTTTAGTCAATTTTATAGATGGCAGTATTTTTACTTCTTATATAAATCATAAGGAGTATAAATCCTCTAAATGTTCTTTATCCCTGCCCTAAAATGTCTTGGTTTTGGAACCCCCAAATTAACTGATTTATGCTAATAAGAAACTAACAATTTTTTCTATTTAACATATGCCAACCTAACAAGCAGTAACTCATCTTACAAAGTAGATTAAACACTGACATCACAGGAAAAATAAAATCAGATGAGGGAATACAGATAAACTTGAACTAGAATCTCTAATGACTAATTTACTCTCAGAAAGTAACTCAGGCATTGAAAAAATTCAGTTCATTAGTAAGTGCCTTGTGCACTGACCCAGGAAGTTGGTGACAGAGATGGCATTAAAATTCAAATATTTTGTAATCAGGTCTCAGTCCAGAACTCCATAGAGCCATTTTCAGTTTATTAAAGATGGTAACCCTATCTTTAGGGTTAGAAGAAACAAAAAAGGCACACTAATTACTAGAATTATGTATTTTAAATAATTATGCTTATTTTAATAATGAAATACCCACAAATAGCAATAAAATACAAAAAAATGCAAGAAGCTATTATTTTTTATAAGACTTTTGTGTATCCTTTTGTCCTTTTACTCCCTTTGTATTCATTTAACTAATATTTACTGAGGGTGAAGAGTGTGGCAGGAGATGGGGTTGGTGCAGGGTTCATGGTGGACAGGATGGATGGACTTACTACTCTTTTCCCCTTTCCAGCCAGATGGGGGCTGATAATCTTGCTAAGAAGACAAACTTTATGCATTTAAAGCATACATTTAATCTTATGGGAAGAGCAGAGAAGCTTTCTTTGAAATCCCAAATACTGGCGCATTTTTTAAACTATGTCTGTCAGAATTCAATCCTACCTAAATTTGTAACTAGACTCACCAAATATGGTTCCTTGAATTTATTCTTGTCATCTAATACTTACAAAAGAAATTTTCTTGGGGCAAGAACATAGTACAGTGGGTAAGGTATTTGCTTTGCATACAGCTGACTTCAGTTAGTGTGTGCCAGGGGGTCAGTTGGTGGGTGTGACCCCTGCCTACTGGAAGATGGAGGATCTGGGTGGAGATCCTTCCAACTGCGCCCTCCCACCCCCCCCCCCCCCCGGCGCCGTGTAATCCCATCAACGGCCAAGACCCAGAGACTATAAAACCAAGCTTCCGGAAGAGAACAGAGCAGATTCTCCTGATCCTGCACCTGGCTGTCCTCACAGGGGGCCCTTGGAGGGGGGGCGGATTGAGTTTCCCACCCCACCCCGAGTAGAGCCTCGGCAGCTGAAGACCTCTGGAACCAGCCACAACCATGCTGAGGCCACTCTCCACACACATGAAGGTACTGGCCGAGGAACAAAGACATGCGGGTCCCGGGGCTGAGATCCCTAAACCTGAGGCTGAGCATCCTCCACCCAGATCCTCCATCTTCCAGTAGGCAGGGGTCACACCCACCAACTGTCCCCCCAGCGCCTGTAATCCCATCAACGGCCAAGACCCAGAGACTATAGAACCCAGCTCCCGACATCTTATTATCTCATTCTTACTTTGGACAACCTGGCAGGCTTCCTAATGTAACCTGCCCACACCTCAGAGCCTGGCAAACTCCCCGTGGTGTACCCGATATGCCAAATACCAGTAACAATCATGGGGCTCTCTCATTCTCCTAGCCCTGAAAGAGCCTTGAAAATGGCACTTTTTAAAATCTCAAGGCTAGTGCAAAAGAGACGTTACTGGTGCCTGCTTGAGGAAATCGACGAATAACGGGATGATTGTGATCGTGGTCGTGACATCTGACTCGGGTTCAATTCCTGCACCCTATGTGGTCCCCACAGTCCACCAGGAGTGATCCCCGAGCACAGAGCCAGGAGTAAGCCCTGGACACTGCTGGGTGTGGCCCAAACTGCATCCCCCCAAATTTTTATTTTGTTTTTTGTTTTTATTTGGGGAGCCACACCCACAGTTGTTCAGAAGTTACTCCTGGCCCTGAGTTCAAGAATCACTCCTGAAAGGGTCCAGGGGACTATACAGGGTGCCAGAAACGAAACCCAGATTGGCCCAGTGCAAAGTAACTGCCCTACCTGCTATACACTATACTATCTTTCCAGCCCACATAAGACTTTTTCATCTTGGAGGCCAGAGATATAGTATAGGGGCTTAAGGTACGTTCTTTGCATGTGGTCAATCTGAGTTGATCTCTCTGTAATTCCTGTGGTTTCCTGAACACCACCAGACATGATCCCTGAGCCCAGAGCCAGGAGTAAGCCCCAAGAACTGCCATGTGTGACAAAAATAAAATGAAATCATATAAAATAATTTTTTGGTTAAATTTTACTGTTTGAGGCTCTTCGTGTTCCTAGAACGAGCAAACGCCATTGGACTACACTAGCACACGACAGGGACGAATGGAGACATTACTGGTGCCCGCCCAAGGAAATCGATGATTAACAAGAAGTCAAGTGATCAAGTGAAGAAATTTTACTATAAGAAAAATTGAAGACCAAATCAAGGAGAAATGAAAGTTAACAAAAAAAATCTTAGACACATAGTTCTAAATTCTAACCTTTGGCAAACTCATTAAAAAGCTTAGTTATTATTATATACCTCCTACCTAGGATGGGGTCTGGAGGGGACCTTGGGAAATTGATGGAGAGATGCTGACACTTTGGCTTGAATGATGGTGTGCCTGAAACTATTGTTAACAGTATTGTAAGCCACAGTGCCTAAGAATAATGATTTGTTTTGTTTTTTACCAGAACCACTCAGATTGCATGTTTTCCCTCTCATTCTTCTGAAGGAATTAGAAGAATCATCAATGAAAAAAGGCAGTTGCAAAAGCAACACCTCGAACTGGGTTCACACTCAGGAGAGGGTGCTCGGGCTCCTCCTCATGGTTCCGGGTGCCCTACACAATCTGAGAAATTTTTCTAGTAACCAACAGAGAAATGATCCCTGAAAGTATAGTCTTAGATAAAATGCATTTTAAAGTGTATTCTATAAATAAAGTACTACAACTGAGGCGGGAATGTGGATTAGTGGTGGAACATACACAGTTGGGATCTTGGGTCCGAGCCCCACACAGAGAAAGAAAGTATAGCTTTACATTGTTGGACAAAGTTTATTACCCTTGACACCATGAAACTCTATGCTTATCAAAGAAGATCCTGAGAAGAATATGGTTTTTAAAACACTATAAGCAAGGAAAGAATTCGAATCTATGCAGAGAATCTCTATGATACATAGTGGGAACTTGCTAAATGAAGTAAATATATAACTTGAAGTTTGAACAATAGAAAGCACATTTTCTTTAAAAATTTCAAAGCACCATCAAAATGAAGTTCGTATTTGCATCTAACAAATTCTGCAACTCTAATTTATAAGGCCTGCATAATTATGCTACTACATGAAATGAGTACCAATAAAAGAGAGGCTTTTAAAAGTCATGTTATCTGGCTTGCTCTTCAAGTCCATGTTCTCCATTGAACATGCATCCTCTCTCTTGCCTTTCTCTTGGTTCCTTTGCTTGCCTATTTCCACCTTGAAAAAAATCAGTGTTCTTTCTCAAACACATGAGGAAAGAGCAAAGTTTTTGTTGGTTTGTTTTACTATAGAACGATACTTATTTCTCTGTATTTCTAGAGCAAATCCAAGACAACAAGTGCGTTGGCTTTTAAGAAATCAGCTGAAACAAAACCTGAAAAAATAATCAATATTTTCTCATTCAAAAAAGGGCTCTGGAAAGGCCAAGAGACAGAGCAGTGGTTAGTGTGCACACTAGGTCTATTATGAGCCCAGTCTGGGTTGAATTTCTTCCTCCCATGGAGTCCCTGGTTCTCCCGAACACCTCTTGGGACAGCCCTTGGAGGACTCCCCTAAAAAAGTACTCTGGAGACTTAAACAGTGATACGAGGCAAAGGTGAGTGTCTTTAAATACATCCCAATAGGCCTAGACTACATTCAGGAAAGAAAAGAAAAAATATCAATTCCCTGAAAAAAAATTAGAGAAAAATCCATGAAAAGTATTTGCATCAACTTTTGGTCATTGTATACAAAAAACTGCTTTTGCTCCTTTATGAATGATATTTAAATCTAGCCCTATCTTATCAAGTGGATCTATGGTCCTTTCGAAGCTTTTTAATTTTCATAATACCCTTTCTGAGCTTCCCTTGTTAAAGTGGCTCTACATATGTGCAATGAATTATTGAGTGTTTCTTTCCTGCCCCCCCCCCCAACTCCAAATGCATGGAATAGCTGTTCTCATAATGCAGCTGACTTCACGGGTTGATGACACGGAGGCTGGCAGCAAACAGTGGCTCTCCAAGCCCTGTCCTTGAACTATCATCCAGCAATGTGCTTGAAATTCAAAGTTGATCGTCATGCTCCATGCCAAATTTACTAATTTCCGAAAATCTGAAACTGGGACTCAAACTCTTATGTTTTAAAAAACTCCTCACCTGATTCGTTTATTGTTCTTGTTTTTCTTTGTTTTGGAACCATCCCAGATAATACTTAGGGATTACTCTCAGCTCTGTGCTCAGGCATTGCTCAGGGGAAACACAACCCTTTCTGAAGGCCCCAATCTAGGTTTCTTGTATGCATGAGCTCTGCCCATTGAGCTATCTCTCTAACCTGTGACAGTGATTCTGAGAACCACTATGAAAAAATCCAAATCGCTCCAGAAAAATGACTTCAGAAAAATAGATATTAAATTACTATTCTTTTTCAGTAGACTCTGTCTGATATTCTGTTTGTCTACTAACTCCCTGATTCAGTCATGGAAAGACACCTTTGCACTCAGCTGCTCATGTGTCACACAATTATTTCCAATGGAATCATTCCTAATTTGTTGACTTCTTTAGTGCTGGTCCATCATTCGCCCAAATAATCCCCAAGCCTGGCATAATCACGTTACTTTCTCCATTCTGGGCAGGCTAACTTCTGGCTAACCCTAAATGTTACTTCCCCTCCCCTTCCCCAGTGCCAATCAATGTCGAGGGATGTGATTTACTAAAGGATCTTTGCTAGCAGTGCAGCGACAGTATTTGAAAAGTCAATGCAAAGAAACCAACGCCTCTGCTGTCTGTGAGTCTCTGGAGGAGCGAGAGCTTCCAACAATGCGGTGCTCAAGTCCTCGGCCTCCTCTTCGGAGACTCTAGCGTTTTAGGAGATGCCAGGATGGGTAGACATTTAGAAGATGTCTGGAAGAAGGAATCAGTGGGAAACGGGAGGTTCCGGCCCAAACATGCCCATCTGCCACTCTCCATCCCTCCCTGCGCCCTCTTATTTCCATTAGGCTGGTGCACAAGCCTGTTTTCTGAGGGGCTGTGTGGAAGCAACAACGTGGCCAGCAGTCCCTGCTCACCCAGCTCTGTGGCTTCCCCAAAGGACATGTCCCAGCACCACCACCTTGAACCTTGAACACAGGGGAGGCAACGACAGAAATCCATTGCATTTTTTTTTCACCAATAGGTGTGGCCTCCTGCTCCTGGAAAGCAGCCAATTTGGCTCTTTGTTTGGGTTTGACACAGTAAATAATGATGAATATTGTCTCCAAGCCTGTACGGTCCTGCACACATGTTCTCTGAACCACCATAAATTTTTTTTTCAAAAATAAATAAATAAAACCTTACACAAAACAAAGCATTGTTGTGGATCCCACGAATGGGCTGGAATAAGCACTTTATGAGAATTTGCCTAATTTCACAGATTTCCCATTCTGTTTGCTGAATGCTCTCATCTTTGGAGGAATAAAACACATACACACACACACGCACCCTCCAACAGACCTCCAGTTACAAACTTCTAACAAGACAAGGGTGGAGGGGCTTTAAGCGTAGAAGTAACAATAAAATTAACATGCTCTCTCTTCTCTAATTGGGACATGCCCTGGGATACCTATCTAAAGGGCACTTGATAACAAGTGTTCTATGTTGTCATTAAACCACCATAAAGGGACCCCGATTCAGCTCTCAGAAGGTCTCCGGAGAGGCCCCAGAAAGCACTTCCCCATAAAACATAGCTTCAAAAAGACTTTTACTTTATACTAGCACATTAAAAGAGTCTAAAGACACAGAGGCACTCGATACGGCTATATTTTTAAGATGAACACACGGTCTCTGGAGAATTAGGAGGCAGGGAGGGTGCCAGCGATAACAAAGCCAGCTTATCCACACAGCTCCTGCAGCCGCAACCCGGAGGAAGCATCTAAGGGCGCTCTTAAAAAGAAAATATCCTCTGCCCATGGCAACAAAGCCACGAGCGCATAAAAGCAAGCACCTTCACAGGCAGAAGTTATAGGGTAAGCCAAAAGGTGGAGAGCTCACATAAACGAGCCTCCTCCAGCGGCTCCGCGCACGGGGTGCTGTGTCCTTAACCCTGCACCCCCCTCAAGAAGACACCCCCAGTGCACCTGGGCCATCCAGGGCCACATGGTACCATGGGAGTAAGGACACTGGCCTTGACAGCCAGCTTTGTTTCAAATTAGATGGAATCCTACTTCCTCCTTTAAACACAGAGTGAAAATGCATTTCCTACCTCTCTTAACGCTGCCCAGTTAGGAAATTCTTACTTCGATGTGGATTACACAGTCTGCTAAATGAAAACCTACAGCTCTCTGAAGCAGCTGCTCAAGCCCAATCATCCTCTCTCACTGGAGCCAAAGAAAAACACAGCCTTTCTCCACCTCAAAGAGAAAATTGCAGAATATCAGATTCGACAGAATTGACATGAGTCTCAGTGCTCTGGCAACCAAGCCAGGGGAATCTGCCCTCTCGAGAATATTTAATTGACTGATCAGAGAGACAGTACAGAGGTTAAGGAACTTGCTTTGCACATGGCTGACCCTGGTTTTGTTTCCGGCACCTGATATGGTCCCTGAGCACTGTCAGGAGTAATTCCTAAGCATCCCCAGGGGTATCCCAAAACCCAATAAACATAATACACATGTTTATATAGAAAGATATAAAACAATATACATACAAGTCTTAAATCCATGGTTTACTAACACTCATAAACAATTACATCTAATTTGTATAATCTAGATGTAAATGTGTTTCTGTCTTCAGATTCTGGTTTGCCTTCAACACAGATTCATGTGTATATCTTTGGTGTTCGTCTGCTTTGGGTATGTTTTTGTTGATGCTCTTTCTTGTCATTTTGGTTTCCCATTGTGTCATTATGACTTAGACCCAGTATTGCGCAAGAAACAAAATAATGGACAGTATATATATATATATATATATATATATATATATATATATCCAAACTTGTCCCAGTGCCATTGTTTAGAAAATTATTCCTTCAGTTTCCTTCTGCCTGCGTTTAGATATCTAAGGTGTCTTACCCTTGGCTTGGAAAAACATAAACAAGTAATTCCTGTCAACAAATGCAAGAAGTTAAATTTGAAGACTGGATGCCATTCACTATTACTTTTCTTCCACCCACCCCCCTGCCTACTCCACAAGCTGGGGATCAAACTCAGATTCTATTAAATGTAACATTCAACCGTAGTGCCTGCAGGGCTCCAAATTACCCTCTCTCTCTGGAGAGCAAAAAGGAAGCATTCGCCTGCCCAAACTCACCATCTTTCCCAGTCCAGCATGGAATCTTGGAGCCAGGCTAATGTCTGACTCAATAACCAAAGAAGTATAAAAAGTGTGCAAGCATATTCTGGTTTCCATTGTATTCCTAAGCTGGAAATCACGCTGTCTACACGTTATTCTGTCCCTCTTTGTTCTCTGTTTTATTATTTCTTCTATCATTGGTGTGAATTTGATTGCAAAAATGCAGACTTAGATGACCCACCCCCAAAGGAGAGGAACCCAGAACTCAGCCTCCCTATACCATTATAAATTCTGGTGCGGACCCCTCTGACCTGTGTTTCGGACCTTGGGAAAGGAGAAAAGTGAAGCAGATATCAGCTGCAACATTTCTACAGCAGTGAGAGAGGGAAGATAAGAGCTGGAGCCA